TGATGCTTTCTTTGGTAACCATCCATGACTATCAACCTCACATTTTATTTTGATAAGCTCAACTGCATATTTTGTCATCCACTATTAATCTCCCTAGCAAGTTTTCAACAGGGAACATTCCAACTCCACTTAGCTGCAAAAGCAATGTTTCTTTTCTTCAAGTTTTCGGGACAGAGACCTCCTTCGTCTTTGTTCTAAAGAGAAATTTCCAACTTGTGAGGTGGTACCCTTCTTCAGCACCAATTTTAGCCCAAAGATAGTTTTGAACTTTACTTTCCAAGAGATTAGCTACCTTTGTTGGCATTTGTAAGAAAACAAGAAGGATTAACTCTACTGCAACCCGCCCTCCCTTTCAAGATTGCACAACTATCAAAAGAATTTGAAAAAGAATTCTAGGAAGGAACCACATTAATATGATTACTGGAACAATTTGATACTAAATTGAACATAAAAACAAAATAGCAAGCATGCAGAGATAACGTACTTGCAAACAATGTCCTCAAAAGACATAATCACAGTAACTTAATAAGCTTAAAATGGAAAACTACACAGAATTACAATGCTGTAGCTTGCAGCTACACACTTCCATAAAAAAAACAAACGAAAAAAGGAAAAACGAAAAGAACAAAAGTGGAACTTTCAACATCAGAGCCAAAATGTGTAGAAATTCAAGAAGGGTCATGAAGTAGGCAAAAATTGAAATGGTTTGGTGGTTATCTCTGTAAGTGGTCATGCCAGCTACAAATTGTAATCTGTAGTCAGATTAAGGATCATAGTAACTACTACAACCACATCTTGACGCCATGTTTGTTGAAACAATGGTATTAGTCTGTTTAGTCCGAAGGGGATAATGGATCAGAAGTATAAAAAATCTAGCTGCACATCCCTAAAGCTAAAGAATTCATAGAGACCATCCCGTTTATTCCTAGTTGTAAACTTGTACGAGAGAAGGTTCCTAGACAATCATGATATGTTCTTTTCTGGGCTACACTAGTTGAAGGAGAAGCCATCAATCAACTGTGTGGAGAACAACTTGAAGTCCTAAAAAAAGGACTTCTAGGTTGTTCATGATCTTTCTTAATTTATTTATATGATTTATACGCCATTAAAGGAGAGGCTTCCAACCGAGTTTGTGGAGTAGAACTTAAAATGTACTGTTTTCTTATTAGCCAGTCTAATGAGTCTTTCTTTTATGCCAAATGCGTAATATTCAAAATCACATGCCTCTTACACATGGATCTATCTTACCAAACCTACCTCTACATCAGTATCACATAAATCGATAAGGATATCAAACATTTCATCAGCAAGTTTAAGAAATAGAAAAAGGTCATATTTAATCTGGTAATACCCCATAGAAACAAGAAATGTGAAGCACAAGTATTGAATATAGACGACAATAGGGCACTGTACAAAACGATTGTCAAATGCCAAATTCACTCAATCAACTGTGTGGTCGCAAAAAAATTTCTAAAAATCGTCAATCAAAAGGGATAAGAGAAGAATAACTAGAGACATCTTTCTTTGGTTATAAGAGGGATTGTAGAAGACGATGGCATTCTAGATGAATGAAGGATTATAAATAACTTCTTATGCCATTTGGTTCAACTAAAACTAAGAATTTTTCATGAGGCTCGTGAACCAAGCAATTCAACTTCTCGTCAGTTGTTTTGCTCTCATTGAGTTGGATAATGTCCTTGCGAATAGAAGATCCATTCAGGACTATCACATACATAAGACTAGCAAATAACTATCATGCCTTACTTCATAAAGCAGAAGGGTAATATGTAAGTCGCAACATTTCCTTAAAAGCACTAACCATTCTCTGAAACACATAGGCGCAACAGAGAAGTAATATGAGAATCACTGCTTCAATAGAAAACTCATTGCACAAGTTGCAATCTCAAGTTCCATCCAAGAGTTGCAGCAAAGAGAGAGCGAAATAACACGCTGCTATACACGTGAAATGAAAAGGAGCGGAAGCAACCTGTAAAGCTCTTCGAAGCTGAGCCCGCTAGCGTTATGATTGTATATCTCGTGAATTGCATGTTCCAAAATCTTCCACGTCTTCTCAGCATATTTCGGATCCACCACGACCCGGTGCTTAAAGGCCTCTATCTGGAAATTCCTCTTCTTCTGCGCACTCATGGCTTCCAAAGATCGGATCCCAGAAAACCCTTAATCTTAATTGGATGGTCGAACCCTCCAACGAAGCCCTAGGTTTTGGAAAGACGCAGACGGATCAATTTTCACGGAAAGAGCAAGCAACAAAGAATGATGGAAGAAGATTTGAGAAAAGGGAAATGGATTACAGACAGAAATGAGAAATTGGACGAGGGAAAGAACACGGAAATCAATATCGAGAGGATTTAAGAAGCGCCTGGACAATCTTTGAAAGCAACAATTTGAAGAGAAAAAAGGAACAATGGAACAAAAATTTACACTTTTAATTGAAATTATCCTTTTCTTCTCGACGTGGTTCTCTTTTTCCTCCAATTTAACTGAGATGGGTTGCCCAAGCTTGGGAGGGTCAGACTGTCTTTGCAGCCGGGCCAAATTGGGGCGGAGGGATCAGACCGGTCTAACTTATTGCTTTTGTTTTTCGTTTTCTTTTTTCTCTAAAAACTTTAATGAAATTTAAAAATTTTAATATGCCCGAACCTATCCAACCTAAATTATAAGAATTGGGTTGATTAGTTTTTTAGAACCCGATTTGGTTCAAGTTGGATATAGGTTTATTGTGCAAAAGATCAAGTCAACCCGACTTAACTCGATTGCATAAAAAGAAGAAGAGAACGAGTTGTCAAGCTCAACCCATGTCCTTCTTCCTAAGCTGACGACCCACTACCCACTCGGTTCGTCTTCTTCATCAATTCATCTTCTTCATTCTTGGTAGCTCCTTCCTTCCTCAATGCACCACCTCATAGACGCACAGGCACAGTCGTACTCCTTCTAGTACTTCTTCATAGTCGCACTCTTTATATCATAATGAACTAGGATGCTATTAGTAAATTTGACGATTGTAGCCCAGTTGCACACTTATTTTAGTATAGCAATTGACTTGAACAACTTTTTTAAAACAACTAAACAACCCAACTCAAAATCTCTCAATTTCTCTGGCAATAAACTTGAACAACTTTTTTAAAACAATTAGACAACCCAACTCAAAATCTCTCAATTTCTCTTCGTATTAGAGACATGAAGATTCAAGATGGCTATTCATGGTACAACTAAACTAAACACTCAACTTGATGATAACTATTATTTGTGAAGTTTATAGCTAGCTAAGTCTTATCGCTAGCAGCCTTACGATTTTAAAACGCGTTTGTTAGAGAGAAGTCTCCACACTTTCATAAAAAATGTTATGTTTCTCTATCCAATCGATGTGGAATCTCACATTATCTGTCAAAAAAACCTCAACCGATCCGATAAAGCTCAACCACAAATCGTACCATAACTATAATTTTTTAGGATTACTACTTATACATTTGGGAATTCTACAAATATTGTTAAATTTAGGATAACTCCAATACTATTTATCATATCATCCACTTAGAAAATAATTAGTTTATAACTAAAGTGAACAACTTGAAGATATGTTGTGGTTCATTAGCTAGTTATCAACGGATCACGTTTCATATTTGATAGACCTCTTAGGTTTTTTTAACACTCACTTACTATGTACATTAGCATGTATTCTTCATTTTAATAACTCATCTCTACACCATATTTATATCTCTATATATTTTTAAAAAAATTTAACAGCGGTAATAGTAAAAGATATTATTATCAACATTTGAAATGATAATTAATGTTTTATTATTAAAATACTTTAAGTAACCTATAATAATTTGAAACAGTTTTAGAGGGTAGGGTTAATTTTTTTAAGATACAATATTAAAGGCAAGCAATGCATTGTATTAATTTACCGTGTAACTCAGGCTTTGCCTGAATGTGTGTATATATATCAGTAAGGCACAACTTGATTTTTCGCCCATTTTAACTACTAATTATTACATTTTAACTCATAAAATTTTAATTAAATCCATCCCTTAATAAACTATAACATTTATTATAATTACACCAATAAAATTTCAATTTCATCTACTAATTGATATTGATATATACACTAATATTTATTTTCTTGATTTTAATAGATAGCCAATATTATTGTCAAATTAGGATAGTATTTTAATTCATTAATCAACATCAAAATTTCATCTCAACTTTATCTTAAATTTTAAATATAATTATTATTTAATCAAATTTCTTTTTAAATTTAGTTTTTCATTTTTATGGGATCAAATTAAAAATTCATAAATATAAACGTTATAAATCTCATAATTTACGAAGTCATCGATCAAATCAAAACTTTTAGAAGGTACTTATAGCAAACTTTATATTCCTCGTTTATGCAATTTTCTTTTGTAATTATAATAATACAATTATTGAGGACACGTCAGCTCGTGAAAGGCCGTGACGCTCCATCCATCACCCGCCGTCCCACTTGCAAATTCCCACCCTCCCATGCCACCTGTCTCCCAAGACCTTGCTAACGTCATTTACACCCTCGGTCACCGTCTGGGACCCACCACTCCGCGCCCACTCACGTCCTGCCACGTCTCCTCCCTAAGAAAGATGCAAGTTTATCGCATCCACCAAAATCTACCTTACCAGTCTTCTTTCGCCACGTAACGAAAAATATTACCACCACGGATTATTAAAATGACGTGGCGTGGGAGAGGTGGAATTGCATTAGTGACGTGGCGAACAGTGAGAGAAATATCCATAAAAAGAAAATAAAAAACGAAAGCCCTTTACCTTATAGAGGAAAACGGTTTTTTGACCTTTCCATATAACCCCATTGTCACTTAACACGTGTCCCAATCATTCCGCACGTGTCTTCCGCCAGGCAATCACCTGGAATCGCACCCTTTTATCTCCAGAGTATATATTACAAAGGCACGGCCTCTGTTTTTGCGTCACTTGAGAGGAAGGGCAAAGAAAAAACAGAATTACAAACTGAACCACCAGTGCACGGCGTCATTATGACGAAGCAGTTGAAAGAGAATCAAGAACCATTCATCTCCGGTACCGGCGAAGACGAGTTTCCGGCGGCGGCAGGGTCGATGAGGTCGATTTGTAATCCTTGTGATTTTCACTCTTCGAAGACGTGCAAGGAAGTGGAAACGGATCAGGAAAGTATAGGATCGTCGGAGGAAACAGAGTCGCCGAAATCTGTAGCGAAGGTTGCGGACTGGAGGAAGAAAATGGCGTATGTTCATTACCAGATTCGGAGAATCAGAGAGGAGGATTTGCATCTTGGTGAAGACATCGGCGAAGGCTTCAACGCGAAAGAGAAGATTAATTCGATCGGAGATTGGTGCGATGTTCGACATAATCCTCCTCATTCTTATCATAATGATCGCGTTAGTTCTCAGATGAATGTTGTAATTTTCTCGAGGCCGATCTTGCCTAGCTCGCCGCTCAGCGGGAAGAACAAATACAGAACTATAAGTTAAGCAAGGTACGACTGTTCTTCATTCGATTTCGATTCTGCAAAATTAATTAAATCTTTGAGGAAACTGAAGGTTTCGCAAGGTTTCGATTCTCGTGATTGAGTTAGTTTTGGATACTGATTTTGCAGGAGAGAGATTAGTTAGAGTGCGCAGGAAGTGAAAAATTGGGGGAAGTTTTGATCTCTGGTATATGGCTGCATAGTTGTAGGGTTTGTTTGAATTTGTTAGGGCAAAATTAGCGAAATGGAACGATCAAAAAATTTGAACGATGAAACCTCTACTGTGTAAAGCCTAATCTCAATCGTAAAACAGAGAGAAAAAAAAATGCATGAATCCTGATGTTGTAAATAAATTTCCTGGTTTTTCTTCTTCTCTTTGAGTTCATTTCTGATTTGTTTCTTTGATCTCTTCATTCAAAACTTGGATGTCTGCCGAAGGTCCATCTATATTTACGGATACCTGTAATAGAAATTGTTTTTGAAAATGTTTCCTTTTAGAAAACTGATTCCACAAAAACTAATTGGAAGTACATATATATTTTTTTTTTAAATTGTTAGAACAACTATTAACTAAAAAAGAATCTAAAATACACCTTAACTTCAAATATTTTTTAATTATGCTCCTGTACTTTGAAATTTTTTATTTGTCTTTATTTTGAACTTTGGAACTTAAAATGCTCTTGAGCTTCAATGATTTTTAAAATATTTGTTTTTCAAAATTTAAAATTAAAAATCATTTCTCAATGTAATTTCAACCTGGAATTAAGGAATTCAAACGTATGATCTTTGGATCGGAATTTGTATTTTATGCTAGTTAAATCAAAACCTAATATTTTATGATGGAATATTTCCCCATAATTGCTGAAAAAAAAAATGAAAATCATACCAAATTAAGTTTTGAAAAATGGAAGTAACTTTTTATGCCTTTTCTTATTTTTACTGAAATGAATGCGAGATTTTTAGATTGTCTAAGAAAACAAGTATTTTTCATAAATATAGTTTCTTTTAGATATTTTCTTAACAAAATTATTTATATATAATTGAACCATTCATTTCCTTGAATGCTTATACTAATATCAAATTATTATAAAGAGATGAGTATCAAACATTATGAATAAACAACTTTAATGGAATGGTTTTCGACCATAGCCAATAGTCTTAATCACCTATGATTGAAACTAGAGATTGATGACTATTGCTAGCCACTAGTCTCAACCGCTGACGCAAGTCACCATACTGAGGATATGCAGAATTGCCCTAACCACTCTCCATGGATGGAAAAGGCGAGCACTAAAGAAATACACATCATTCATAGACAAAGGGAAATAGCATTGGATACTTTTCGAGAGATCTCCTCTAAATCACTAATACTATCGGTAGAAACATGAGCACCGAACATGAAAGTTCTAGATTCACGGTGATATTAGGAATGTGAAAGATATCCACCACATGATGATCTAATTGCAGTGGTGCCTTTGAAGAGAAATAAATGGGCCATGCTTTTGACAACAACCAATCATCAAATCACTGTCCAAAAGTGATTTTCCTTTATAATACATACTATCTTTCAACAACAAGATGGTGCATCTTATCATTATGTCTCTCCACTGTGTTTATAAAAACAACCAACTTTAAGGTCATATGTTATCAGAGTTCTTCATTACTGGATCTCAATTGATTCTGATTCAGTTCTTGAATGGAAAGATTGATGCCCAAATGAAATGGGTTTTAGATTGAAAACCAACCAAAACAATGAACAAATTCAAGAACAATCAAACTCAATTGCTATTCAATCAAGAATGGCTCAGAGTGGTTTCTGGTAAAATGCAAGATTCCAGACTTAAAAAGGCAAGAAAACAGAGCAGAAATCAGCTTCTGGTATAAACACTGTATTTGGTAATCTGAATACAAAAATCTCAGTTTTAAGTATACAATTTTTCTCAACACACAGAAGAGGATGAAATGCTTCACATAACATTATTGTTCTGTATTTTCCCCAATTAATCCTCCAAAACTTCTCCACTGTACAAACAAAAGGAAAGAACAGAGAGAATTTTCAGATTTGTACCTTGCAAGAGCTATTAATGGCAGCAGATGGGGCACCTCACAAGCCCATTTTCATTGCAATCGGTACACCTCTGGAAGCCATATCCATCTTCTGCTTCTTCTGCTTCTTCTTCTTCTTCTTCTTCTTCTTCTTCTTCTTCATCATCATAAAACACTTTACAGCTTCCAGAACATGTCTCACATGGCACAAATCTAATATCCCCACATGCCTCACAGACTCCCACATCGTCATTTTCAAGCTTCTCGCAGCATTCAAGCAGTTTCTCAAGCTGCCCATCTTCGTGTAGTCTGCGAATTTCTTCAGCGCCACCGATTTGCTTTCTCCCAATGAACACTCTGGGCAAGCTCTTCTGATCTTCCGTTAATAGCTGCTTGAGCTCCTCTTTAAACCCATTATGCATTGACACATCTCTCTCGTCTACACGAATCCCAATTGCTCTCAGAATGCTTCTAACATCACAGCAGTCTTCGTATGTCTTACGAATCCCTCTCAAGCTCGTGAAGTATAGAATTACCTTATCCCTCTTCTTCTCCTCCGGCCAACTGTAGAATTTCTTAGATTCCACGGTGGCTAACGGCGGCTGTTGGTGCTTTGTGTTCTCCACCGGGCGGAGATAAAATGGGTGATCCGGGGTGAGCTGCTGAAGAGACTTTCGAAATGATGAAATCACTTCCGGATTGAAATCGGAAGCCATTGAATCAGAGTTCAAATTCCCATCATCGATTTCATCTTTTTCTTCTTTTAATTGAAGCCAGAGAGGTTTATGAGATGAAACGGTACCATTTTGTTTCGGAATCGGCTTGGGCTGATCGATGAGGGATCGATGATCGTACGTACGGCTACCGAAATCGAACGAGAAGCTTCGATATCGGCTCGGAGACCAGAGAGGGCTAACATCCTCTAGCCCTTCCATGAGCTCCCATATGTTGATCGTCTCCGGCTCCCCCGGCGGCGTTCTGATCGGAGTTTTCGAAGCGGTTTTAGGGATTTTCTCTCTGATTATGCTCGACCATGTCTTCGCTTCCGCCAATCCCATTCTGAAATCCTCAATCGTCTTGGAATTGTCGCTTCTCTGCGACTGACGGCAATAATTACCGCCACCGCCACAGCCACCACTTCCGAGCTCCAACGAGCCTAATGTGGAGGAGGTTAGGGCTACTACATGATAACTATCGCCTTTGGCCTGTGGTGGATGATGAACTTGCATAGAGTAGCTTCGAGAAATCGGCGAATACGGCCGCCGGCAATGCCGGCACCGATTTGGTTTCGAGTTTACACATCCCATTGACGAATTAGATAAAGAGTAAAAGAAATGATAACATAAATCGATCACAATTTTTCAAAGTGACATTCTGTTTTTTTGGTTGAATCGGATGAAAGGGGAATGAATATTAGGAAGTGAATGAACGAAATCGGTGGATTTCAAAGAAAATTGTTTCTGAATCAAAAAACTGAACAAATTGACATTCCAACAATCGCAAGAACCCTAGTTCCCCCTTTTTCTTCTTCATCTGATCGTCAATGAAAATCAATCCCCAAATTGCAGAAATGGAAATCTCATAGCAAATCAGAAGAAGGGAGAAACATGTAGGTGAAGAAGAATGAGAGGAAGCATCAATGGCGAATTAAAAGTGGTGAATTCAGAACCCAAATTCCATGCCGACGTTCTACTTATACTTTCCTCAACAAAATCCAAACCCATTTCTTAACTTTATCTCCCTTCATCTTCAACCTTAGGCAAATAATTACAGAGACATGTGTGGCCATGACAGGCACGTGCTGCACGTGAGCTTTTAGGTTGTTGTGTTTCCGACAATTGTGTCCAAAGTTCTAAAAGTGATAAAAGGAACTTTGGATCTCACAGCTCCCATTTCCAGTTGCCATCATAGCTGCAGCTGATGAACCAGGCATGACTGATTAAACAAACCCTTATTGTTGATACAAATCAGCTAAAAGAGCGGAGAATTTGTACGTAAGAACGATGTATTTGTTCGTACAAGATATTTAGAATGGACATTGTAAGTATAATTTGAACTCAAAGTGGACACTATCATGTTGCTTGGAGAGACTAAAATTGTCGTGTCAAGTAGTAATAGCAGAGACATGTCCTAGACTTACCTTCGACAGACAATCATGTAAAACAATTGTGCATAAAACCCTCAACGTTCTTCATTTTTCCCATTATACCAACAATGGAAGTCATATTTGAAGCTTAAATATCAATCTCAACTAGCACGTAGGTATTTTGATTAGAGTTGATTGGAAATTAGAACGAATGACAGTGAGGATATTGGTCCCAACGAAGAGTGAATTGTGAGATCTTAGTTGGAGAGAAGAACTAATCATTCTTTATATGAGTATGAAGACTTCTTCTTAGCATACCTATTTCAAAAACTTTGAAGAGAAGCTTGAAAGAGAAGATTCAAATAAGACAATATCTACTAACAGCAGACTAAATCATCATCACCATGATTGGTCCGCCTTTTTCCATCTTATAATAGGTTGATTATTGTTGCCTTTTTTTCCATCTCTCCCTCTCTTTCTTTTCATCTCTCTTTTTTGCTTTATTTTTCCCTTTTGGTTAAGTGTTTCTCCCTATACAGATGAATTTCTAAGACACGAGGACGACCTAATCATTTTCATTCAATTCAATTCAACTAAATTTTATTAAATTTCGTTACTTATTAATACTTATATTAGCAAGATTCATAATTAATTATTATTGTATTATCGGTGCTATATAACTTAACGTATAGAGAAATAAAACATAATTAAAAAATTGGGTTGAGATTAAAAGACATAATTAAATACATCTACCTTTAGTTAAAAAGTACATATAATCTTCATATCTTTAACACCATACTCTATAGTCGCTTCAAACATGTCTTTAAGCATAAGTTTAATTAATGCCAAAACCAAATTCTTTTTCAAAAATTTTAAATTTTGTTTGGCACCCGTTTAAAATATTTGTAAACCTACAAAAAAATTAGCGAAGTTATTTGATATAATATCCGAGTAAAGTAGAGGTACATGAATTAACTGTACAAAAACTTAAAATAAATTAAATATTTTTTAATGTTTTTATCTGTGTTTTATTGTAAAATTGAGATGTTGCAAATTCACGTGAATTTTAAAGAAATGATGTATTTACATATGGAAGGTTGTTTTACTTGCCATCAATTTTACTTTCCATATGGGAAAATGTCTTTTTTCACTAAATAATTAGAATTTAACCATTTTAGAAAAAAAGTAACCATATTTCAAACCATGGTTAAATGATAAATTTGGAAATTTGTTGTTTA